AGAATCATGTCCGTGATAAGATATTAAAAGCGCTCTAAAATCGAGAAAAGTTTATTTTAAAAGTTGCCGGTTGTTTTGCGAAATCGTCCGAAGTTGATTTCAAAAGTTAACAACAATTTTTCGCTAATTTCTCGAAAACTAAAGCTTTCCGCGAAATTTGAATATGAACAAAATTGTTCAGAATCATGTCCGTGATAAGATATTAAAAGCGCTCTAAAATCGAGAAAAGTTTATTTTAAAAGTTGCCGGTTGTTTTGCGATAACAATACTTTGCAATTAAAAAATGAAAAATTTTTTGATAATGGTACCAATGGGGAGTCAGAACCTACCAGATGCAAAAGGTTTCGTTCCGATCGGTCCACCCAGCTAGGCGTAATCGGTGAACATACATAGAAAAAGAAAAAAAATATACTGATCGAATTGAGTAACCTCCTCCTTTTTCGAAGCCGGTTAAAAATATGCCTAACATTTCAGCTTTCCTTACTTAGTTCCAATAAATATTAGTAATTATTTACTTCACCGATTCCCACTAAGTTTATGGACCTTATACTATGTTGTCAAGGTCATTGTTCTGAATATTTTTTTCTGTATATATTATAGCCACTCAGTATGTATTTTCGAGATATTCACAAAAATAGTTTTTTTCTGAGTGAGCCTCGTACTTTTAAAATAAAATATTAAACTTTATTATGTTTTTAATTATTATCAACAGATTCTCGCATTCAAATTATACTTTCGTCCAACCAAATATTCATATAATGTTCTTTCCGGGTCTGGAATATTATTCTTTCCATGTCGTGGAATATTGTTCTTGTTTTTCTTCAACAATGTTTGACATATCCTTTATATGCACCAACTATCTGGATCAATAAATTTGTCCTGCGGTTCGAAGTTATATCCTTCTTCACTGAGGTAATAAGGTTTCCATCAATTTGACATCAATGTAGAATCTTGCTTAATCCACTTTTTATTACATCAAACAAAATCTCAGACGATCTATTCACAACTGATTCGAGGAATAATGGTTTGATTATTCGTTTGACGCCGCCAAAAATCCATTGTCTACTACGAAGTTTAATTTTTGTCAAATAAATGAGACTATTCAAGCTAACAGCATCGTATTTTTAAAAAATATGCAGGAACTAAGACAAAATCCGTTTAATCCATTTCATTCATAATTCAAATTTGAAACTATTCTGTTGCATTCTTACCTGTAGAACGATCTTTAAGGTTAGTTATCGCATCGACCATATCAAGTGCCATATCACAGACACGATCAGCATGATCATTTTCTTTCACTGGAGCGCCTGACACCACCATATAAGCGTCCCCGATTGTTTCTACCTAAATAAAAAATAAAATACATACACCGGTACAGAAATTTGAACAAAATATTCAATATTATACATGAAAAATAAATTATTGAATTACGCTAGAACGTACCGTAACAAACTAAACAATGAACTTTGGAAAGGCACATAATAAACATCTTGAATTGAGAGAGAAAGAAAGAACATAAAAGAATGGTATGTTGTTAAAGAAAGTAAAAGAATGATTTGAGGACAAATAAATGCTAACTCTTACTACCTAAGAATACCTTATACACCCGGTTCCTTTCGGTTAATGTGTCGAAAAGGGAGTACATGGCGTTTAACATAGACACGACCTCCATCGGTGTAATTCTACTGCAAATCTCTGTGAATGTGACTACGTCCGAGAATAAAATTGATACGCTATCAAACATCTGAAAATAGTTATAATAAAATTGAATGAAACTTGATGATCGGAAAAACAAAAATTAAATTTTAAGTAAAAGACATTCAAATTTTTAGAAAAAACAAATGTTCTATTATTAATATTTCAAATTCCGCATGGGTCATCGGTGACCCATGTTTAGAACACACGTTTCCAATTAAGCAAAAACTTGTCGACCAATTTTTAAATATTTATAGTAAACCTGGAATTTTGTATAACATTTAGTATATTAATTATATCAAGGTTTCATGGTAGAAATTATTTATAAATATAAAAATAAAAGGCAAAAATTATAAGAAATGATATTAAAAGGTTACTCATACAAATAAATTTGAAAAGAAAAATAACTTTGGTACGATTCATACGTTCGCAGCTATCAGTTTGATGAAACTAATAAGTTTGATGAAACTTCCTTCATATTGAACCTTTTGCTACGTATGTCAATAAAAATGGACATTTTCTTACTTCACACGTGTCTATGGGACTTTCTCCATTCCTCAAACGGTCTGCCACTTGTTTCGGTATCATCTGATACAATAGTTCATCAGTTCGTTTCATTTCTTCGTCCAGTTTCCTCATAGACTCTTCTAACTTCTTACTCTTCAATTGCTCTTGATCTAAGGCTAACTTGAGTTCCACTGATTGCTGCGTTCCGGCAAGCATCAAATCTCTGTAATAAACATCAATTTATTTATACAGATTTCGTAGATATTCCTTGTCAGGGGTAAAACAGTATGGTATAAAGATAAAGATTCTTATCTAAAGTATCATCTCATCTGCAAAGGATATAGGAAGTATCATTTTATGTGCAAAGAGTATAGCAAGATAAGGGAGTAAATTCCCTTGAACTGTGTTTTTTTTATAACCGTTGAATACCTTACCTGAAAATAATACCATATACTAAGTTTCAACCCTGTTTCTCAACCTGGAGGATAGTTCCGGATTATCGAATTTCACCCTGTTTTCCTTGAAAGACACTACAGACATGAAATCTACGAAATCTGTATTTTTAACATTTTTTTACTGTATTTTATACTTCACACTTAGCATTTACACAATAAAAAAAATTTACAAAAATCTTTAATACACTTTACCGTATGCATAATGTTCTTACTTTTATTGGAATTTACACAAGCCACTAAATAGGGAAAACAGAGTGAAACTGGATAAGTTAGAATTCGCTTATCTCATTAACTATCTTAACTATCTCGTCGGTTGAAATACAGGATTGAGATAGAGTATATAATGTTTGATAAGCTATCAAATGATACAAGGTAAAATAGGTTCAAGAACATTTTTAATCATCTCATCTCGTTGTACCTTTTACATGATCAAATAGTTAATTTCGGTTTGTGAAATACTTTTTTGCAAGCAACAGTTTGTGTACTATGTACTTTCTATAATATATAAAAAAAAAAAAAATTTCGTCTTGAGGCACCATTTTTTTTTAAATTTCTTTTACATATATAAAATATAGCAATTATATATTTAAATATAGCAATTTTTAGTGTCAGAATCTATTAAAAGCAGTTTCAAAGTCTAGGTCTCCAATCATTGTCTGGCACATGACTTACTTACATGTACATAGACAAATACTATTGGTATTTGGACAAATACCAGTAGTATTTGTTAGGTTAAATATTGAATGATACTGACAATATTTTATAGATAACAGAAAAGTAAACGGTGATTGTAATCGAGGATCGTGAGGCATCCACTATACTATCTTTTATGAAGAAATACATTAATATCAGAGCGAAATCCTCACAAACTGTATCAAAAGGTACACACAACTCAATGCAAGCCGTCGTACATCAGAGTGTTACAAACTATTGTAAAGAATTCGTAGGTACATATAATTTATATGTATAAAGTTTGAGTGAAGTTTTGAGCCGAATTTCGAATCAACTTTAACTAAATAAAATTTAATAATTATACTGGACCTGCTAAAGTCATGCATTGATAGGTCATTTATATAAAGACCTGTTGCGATCAGTGCATTCAAATCTGGCATAACAGGAGTACCAAGATACATCATCATCTTCCAGTTATCCATGTATATCATTTGACCTAAAGAAAATTATTATTAGTTGACATTAACTTGAAATTAAATGATATTTTGTTTATTTTTATAATTTAACACTAAAGTTACCATACAGGTAATTTGACCCATTCACAAGTTTTCTGTTTCAAATTACAAAATTTATTAAATAGATATTAATTAATTATTTATATATTAATTTATATTTAGTTTATATTTTCTAATTATTTTCCTACTTTATTTTTAATTTCAAATTACGTGTGCATTTTTCGATAGTAGGTTTAGCAGGAAACAAAAAACTGATTACAAATTGGAAAAAAAAATACCTTTTAATCGTAATGTTCTATCATCGATCGAATCAAGCTCGTCACTCAATATAAGTTCTTCTCTCTGTCGATCAGGTGGTCGTTCTGTTAGAATCGGTTCTACCGTTACCAATTCAAAAATATTATTCGTTCTATTTAAAATCTGTAATAAAGAAGAAAATTATTTCATTTCAATTAATTGTCACCACAATAAGAAACATATTCAATGAAAATAAAAATTCAATGGTTATTCTTACTGAATGAAATTTGAACGCAATTAATGGTCTAACGAGGTCGAAAAAATGGGTTATCTTTTTACCAACAAGATCAGGTAATATCACCATCAACGAATTTCCAATACTTCTTACGATCATGTCTGACCTAAAACCAAGAATTTAATTAAATTCTGTATATTAAAATTGTCGGAATAATTTAAATCTTAATCCCCAGAAAAAATTCGTGCTATCTTTAATAAAATGCTTCTTGCGATATAAAAGGAGTTGAAATCTTTAAAGATAAATAATTTGTCCTACATTTTATTCTATTTATTCAAAATAATAATATAAATGCTAACAGAATAAAAATGCACTTGAGGAAAAAATCTTGAATCACAATAAGGTGAAGTAGGGTAAGTTCGTAAACGGAGCAAGTGCGTATATAGGCTATTTTTATTTCAATATGAGCGAAATTTCTCCATTTAGTATGTTTGTTTCCTTGTTTTGTTTCACTATATCCCCTTTTATATTTCAGCTAAGAATACATGTTTGCAGTATAGAGTACTTGCATAATGCAGTAAAAAGCATTTTATAGCAAATTTGTTAATAATTCTACCCTTGCCCCATTGCACATGAAATAAAGTTTCAAAGTATTTTTAACTTCAAGTTACGCTCCTACCCCATTTTCGGGAAAAGGGCAGAGTAGTTGACATTTTAAACAATTTCCTATCAAAATCAAAATGTACAAGGAAAATTAAGGTCCTAGTTAATATTAACTAAATAGAAGTAATTGTGCAAAGCGTTCGATAT